AAAGTAGTTTTTAACATGGGTCCAGGTGGGGGTGGGGAGGCCCCAAGACATTGAAAAAGGAAAGAATTATGTTTCTGACTTTAATCTATGTAAACTAACCTGGAAGTAAGTCAATTTTTGCTCACTGCGGCTTATTTCTGTGTAGACATGTATAAAGCTGCATTATAAAACTGCAATCTCATGTGTATTACCAGTCTGAAAATCCCACTGAACCCCATGAAAGTTGTTTCTGGATACATCCTAAAAGCTTGGGTTATAAATCAGCTCAAAATGAGCTATAAATGTTCCACAGAGAAAGGAAACCCACCCCCAACCCCCACTCTTCACAAAATACAGCTAGCTTCATGTGATACAGAGAGGGCAGCTTAAGAGACCAGTGGCTAAGTTGGGAACGGAACTGGGCAATATGAGTAGACAAGATTTTAATAGCAAGTAGCAGCAGCAAGGGAAAAACTACTCATTTCTCTGTGTATTTTTAACTCAGGTATTTATGTTTAATATGCTGAGCAAAATGGGAAGATATTTCAGTGACTGAAAGCAGGACAGTCTTCCCCTACTTGCCATCTCCAGATGTGCTGGACTACAGTTTCTATATTCCCCAGCTACCTTGACCACTCATGCTGGGAGTGATGGGAGCTGTGCTCCAATACATCTGGAAGATACTAAGATGGGAAGGCTGTTCTAGGTAAATGTGTCTTTCAAAGCACAGCTGACATTCTGGGGAATAAAAATCACCAAAAAGTAGAGAAAATTGCAATTAATATTGTTTTTAGAACAGATACGGCTTCCACTGTCACTCCTTCCTATCCATCTATCCTCCTTCCAAGAGTGATGCAAAGTTACTTTTTAAGGAAAATGACAGCAAAATGAGTTGGGCAATTTTAAGCCATACAGATCACTGACATGGGTTTTATACCGCAAGAAGGGGAGGAGGGGATGTATTTTGTACATCAAGGGCAGGAAAATATGACTTCAGCGCTGCAAATGCAAGAAGAAAAATACACAGAGAAAAACATATTCATCTGAAGTTCTCTGTACCACCGAATGCTTATGACTCACATGTACCTGGCATCTGCTTCATCTCTGCCTCCTCTACGTGCACTTAAATCCTTTGAGTCTAGCTTGAGCAAAGCTCAAATGTAAGAGCATATAGGGAGGAAGGAATTTTTTATTTATTTGTTTGCTTACTTCAGGGAAACAGACTTTCCTCAAATGGCTATCAATGAGATTCTAGTGTGCAGAGGCACTCTTCCTTTTGCAGACAACGTTTCAAGCCTGGGGCCTGGCCCAAAGAATCTCACTTTAGATTCAAAGATACTTAGGAAGAAACAAAAGCACCTGTGCTGAAGATGATGTGCAGTTCATCGGCCACATTTAGGGATGACATGTGGATTCAGATGATCAACAAACGAGCCAAAGGAGAACTTAGAGATGCCTCCTTAGCCACAGGCCCTCCTGAGGTGGCCAAGGCTGCCCCTGGGGCAGTGGAGACCTGGGCACCTTCAGTGCCCTGGTTCCAAGGGAAAAGCCCAAGAACAACACTCCCTGCCATGCGTTCTACAGAGTGCCTCTCTCCATATGTATAAGCTGCACCCCCTTCCTGGGTGACAAGGGGAATGAAGGCAAGAGCAGGACAAACGGCCCTGACGGTCTTCAGCAAAAGCATCCTTAGCCCAAGGATGAGGTGAGGCATTCACAGCGCCCAATGGCTGGTGATTTCAGACCCTCCCTGAGGCCCTACAGGTTTCTCGCAGCAATCAGGACTAACAAATTATCTCTGGGTTCACACTTCATGGCTGCACTGGACTCTGGGAACAATTCGCACTTAACTCCTCATCACAACAAATTCTAGTTACTGTTCTCAGTACGATGTCAGTTCCAGAAGATAAGAGATACAAGTGACACATCTTTCACTGGTTAGTTCTAAGGCTTCACTACTCAAAAGCAGGAAGATCCAATCACCTACCTGCTTTGGACTTGGCTACACATATATTTTAGATAGTGAGACCTACAACAAAACGTTGCAGTGTACCTCACCCTGCAAGAAAGTATTCCTGTACAGGATTTAACTCAGATTGGAACAGGAGCCTTGTGGCACTGTTTAATTCACTAGAGAAAGGGGCGGATATTTCAGGAAGGGGGCAGGGAGAACACTTCCCCTGTTCCTCTTCCCAAGACCTTACCATGCTGTGCTATATATTGTCAAAGGATCAGATTTGCTAGAAGGGGAAGAGGTAGAATTTGTGAAACAGCATTCTCAAAAGCCTAATTCCCCACCCCCAGGGATGTTTTATAAGCAATCTGGAACTTGAACAAATTTATTCCCACTGCTCTTCATGTTTTCTTCCTCCCACAATGTCACAGGTGCTTCCAATCAAAGACTTATTTGAATCTGTCTGGCTTATGTTTTCTTTAGATGAAGGATGGGGAACCTGTAGTACAGCCTTCCCAACCTGGTACCCTCTCAATGTTTTGGACTACAACTCCCAGAATTCCTGGTCACTACTTAAGCTGGCTGATGCTCTTGAGAACTTCATAAGGTTGGGGGAAGTGGCTATAGTACATGAGATCAATGTAGCCCTCAGAAGCATCCCATTTATCCTCATGGGCCTCTTCCACTCTCATTCCTCTTATATATAGCCACTGAACATACAAACAAAGCAGTACTTATTTTCAGTAACTATTCCTTCTTTGACTATCTCACTGAAAACTCTTATGCATGCTGAGAAAATATCTTGGTGTACTGTGGACGAAAAGAGAAATTGCATTAAGACAGACAAATCCAAATCTTCGTGTCACTCCTACTATAGAACAGAACCCAAGCCAAGTAGCAGGAATATAGCCATAGTCATAGTCTTCCTCCTAACAGCCATACTTAAAGCTTCCACAGAGAGCAATGCTGAGATGCTCCATTCATTGTGTAGTAACAATATAAAGGTTTTGGATTTCCAGACCTGCATATAATCGCCCATGGCCTGCTAGGGTCTCATTCCACCAGTGTTCATGAGAAGATGCTTAAATATGTGCCACTGTTTCTGTAAGAGTTGCACGGGTACAGCCTGGTAAACAAACAAAATGAGCAGCAGGTACTCCTTCCATGGGCCTCCTTTGTAGCTTTTTAACTAAGCACCTGCTGCTTAACGAGAGGCAGGGGTGCTTCTGGAGCCTGTCCCACTTGACAGTAACTCCAGCTGCCTGGGCTAAGAGGCTGCAGCCTCTTCACAGCAATGATGACTAGCCAGTCTCCAGGGTAACCTTGATGCAGAACAGCAAGTTGGCGGTGTTTGCAAAGGTGGGACAGCAACAAAGATGACAGGCTAGAGAGTCATTCAGCAACAGTGGAGAGACTTGGGAATGATGCATCCCACTGTATAGCTGTCCTGTCCATCCCACTCTAGTTCCAATTCTAGCAAAACAGCCAGTTTCTCAGTCTAGTAGATGTATAAAACTGGTAGATGTAAGGCATGTGTGCATTTTGGTGAGAGGATTTCTATTAGGGACAGAAAATTACTAGAGCAACTTGACACAGAGTTATCTTTGGAGTCCCAGGTGACTGCTGTAGCAAGGAGCGCTTTCCCTCAGCTTTGGCTGATCCATCAAATATGCCCTTACTAGAATAAGCAGAGCTTAGCGACGGTGACCCACGCTCTGGTAACTTCCTGGTTGGAGTATTATAATGAGCTCTATGTGGGGCTGCCCTTGAAGACGGTCCGGATACTGCAACTGGTTCAGAACAGAGCAGCCAGGATGTTAACAGGGACTGGCAGATATGCACATATAACGCCGGTCCTTTACCATCTGCACTGACTTTTAATTGAAGTCCAGGCCCAATTTAAGGTGTTGATGATGATGTATAAAGCCCTAACAAAACCTTTTTATTTGCCCAATATTTTAAGTGCTGATGTTGTTTTAAAGATGGGATTTATTTGTTTTCAATTGATAAGTGATGCTGTGCTTTTATTGTATTACTGTCCTGGGACTCAGTGAAGGATGGTATAGAAAAGCTTTAGATAGAAGGTAGGTAGGTAGGTAGGTAGGTAGATAGATGACAGACAGACAGACAGACAGACAGACAGACAGACAGACAGACAGAGCTCTGACTGTTCATATGACTGGAGTCCATCACCTGGATGAAGAATGTAGGTTCTAAAACTGGGGACTGTTGATTTATAACTGTTTGCTCTGTTGATGTCAGAAAGCTAGCCAGAAGCTTGGCATTATGACAGGATCAGGAAGCTGATGATGCAGATTCAGGTGTAGCAGGAAATGGGTACAATAGGAAGGCCACAGGAAAGTGGGCCAGATATAATTCAGAGAAGGTACAAATTCAAAGAGGGTTGGGCCATAGCAAGCCAAAGGAAACAAGCAAGGGAGCTCGGGGTAAGGCAGAGGTAAGGAGCTCTGAAGTATCTACTTTAGCGATGGCCAGTAACTTGGAAGGCTTTAAAGGAGGACTAGACAAATTCAAGGTGGCTAAATCAATGGCTACCATATATTGCCTCTAGCACTGGAGGAACTAGGACTCTATATACCACTTGCTAGGGCACACAAACAGAAGTGTGTGTGTGTGCTGTTGTGCTCATAGCTTAGGTGTGGGCTTTCACTGGCTATTGTGAGAATTGAAAGCTAGATAAGACAGGCCTTCAAGTTTGATCCAGCATGGCTTTTCCTTTGTTCCTTATGAAGCTGCTGACCAACCTGCCAGCAGCATCTTCCCGATTCTTTGGCAGGAGACTGGAGCCAAATTGATCACAGAAGCTCATGTGGTCTCGTGTTAACTTGCACTTCAAGATAAATAAAGCTGAGGAATGATCTGAGGAAGGGATAATTTGGCATAACTTAAGATGATATACAAATGTGCATCCTAATTTTGTTTGAAATTCTTCCTTTTGTTTAGCCTAATAGTTCTTTGCTGACTCAGCTCTCTAGCAGATGAGTTCTATTTATACATCAGAAAATTGTGTGAGCAACTTAAAGATGAGAGGGTAACAGCAACTTACCGTTGTGATAAACCTATACAAGGGCTGTCGCCTTTCTGTGTATTTCACTGTGATGGGACTCAGGTCATAGCGAAACCAGATGGCTGGAATGATACGCCCTGTATGGCTGTATGCGACATACTCCTGAAAAAAGAAGCAGGGCAAGGAATGAAAGGCACAAACAATGGGCTACAGATATCTAACAACACAGCACCCAGATGCTTTCTCCTTCTGCTACTTCTTATTCTTCAAGATGATGATTTGGATCCAGACAGAATCAGAGTAGATCCACTAAAGCCAACAGGATCTGAGTTAGCCATTAATTTACTTCAGAGGGTCTGACTGAAGTATGATTAAGCCTGAATCCAACTTAATTATTGATGTCATAATATTAACAGCTCCCATCTAACAAAATAGCACTAACACATCACTCTGGGCTCTGCAGAAAGAACAGACAAAGCAAAGGATCAGGCAGCCCTGTGAGAATAACGCCAAAGTACCACTGATTTTTGTTTCTTCCCTTAGTGGCTAGACATGGCAGAGCTGTCCAGGACTGGGATATTTTCAAAGCTGGACATTTGGGACTGTACATTAAAGAGGTCTTCAGGAATCCTGCATGGAAAAAGGGCAAGGAAACAGGGCATAGCCATTGTGGTAGGAAATCTGATTATTCCAGTGATGACAATTTTCTTTTTGTTAGGAGGTACTAAGATTGAAGCAGATCACAGGGATTTTAAATGTTCAAATTAAATAAGAAAGAGAGAGTAGAGTCACAGGAAAAACAGACCTTTGAGGTATAAACAGTTCTTTGAAATCTCCATCTCATTTTTTCCTTTCTGCTACATTTAAGTCTTGGCTTAGTTCAATGTCCTATTTATACATCTACACTGTGAAGCATGAAGAATGAAGGCTCACCTCTTAGTGTGTCCAAATTATTTCCCAGAACTTATGTGGCAGATATTTAGCAGAGCATTAGCCAGAGAAAACCCATTATTTCAGCATCCTAAGTATAGACAAGAAGGCTGCACTGCGTAACTTGCTATCTTTTCCATCTTCATGTCACTGCATATATGCATTCTCCTCACCAAATTTATTTATATAATCCTACTACACCAACCTTGATGCTCTTTGCAAATTTTACAAAGGTGTAAGTTCTCTTTAAGGATGCCTTAGCTAGCAGGTTGTACAAGATGGACAGATGGGTCTGAACACACAAATAATCACAGAATAATAGAGTTGGAAGAAGCCAAGAAGGCAATCAGGTCTAACCCTCTGCTGTTGCAGGACACCAATTTACACCATCCACGACCTCTCTGGGCAACTGATTCCACTGTCATATTGCTCTGACAGTTAGAAAACTTCTGATATCTAGACTAAATCTGGTTTGTCACAACTTGAGCTGATTGATCTGTGTCTTGCAGTCTGGTATGAGCAAGAAGAGATCTTGTCCTTCTTTGTGACAGCCTTTCAGGTACTTATAAAATGATATCATGTCCCTGCTCAGTCTTCTCAAGGTTGAATGTACCCAGTTCTCTCAGTTGCTCCTCACAGGGCAATATTTCCAAATCCTGGATCATTTTTGTTGCCCTCCTCTGGACCCTTTCTAATTTTTCTGCATCTTTTCAAAATCTTGGTGCCCAGAACTGGACACTGTATTCCAGGTGAGGTCTGACTAGTAAAGAGTATAGGGCTATTATTCTTGTGATTTGGAAGTAATGCTTCTATTACTGCATCTTAAAATAGTGTTGCCATTTTTGAAGCTGCATCACGTTGTTAGCTCGTATTTAGCCTGTTGTCCTCAACAACTCTGAGGTCTTTTTCAGTTCTGTTGAGCCATGTGTTCCCCATCTTGTATCAATGCATTTGGTTCCTTTTTCCTAGGTGGAGGACTTGACATTTGTCCCTACTGAATCTCATTCTGTTGCTTTCAGCCCAGTGTTCAAGCTTATCAAGATCATCCTCAATCTTCATTCTGTCTTCGAGGGTATTTGGTATTCCACCCCATTTTGTATCATCTGCAAATTTGATTACTGCTCCTTGTACTTCCTTATCTAAATCATTGATAAAGATGCTGAAGAGCACCGGGCTTGGGAGTGAACCATGTGGCACCCCACTAGTTACCTTCCTCCTGCTATTGATGAGCACTCCTTGTGTCTGATTTAACAACCAATTCTGGATCCACCTAATAGCTTTTCTGTTTAGTCCGCTTTTTGCTTATCAGGATGTCATGGGGCACTATGTCAAAAGCTTTGCTAAAGTTGAGTTAAATTATGTTCACAGTGTGCTGTCTATTTGGGAGGTTACTCTGTCAAAAAATTAGATTAAGTAGGAGACAATTTAAAGAGACAAATGCCAGTAAATTGGAGGAGTTACAACCATCACCATGATTGACTAGTTTCTACAGAGCTGTTTCTAAAGCTCAAAGCACTTCTAATCTAGTCTCATAGTAATCCTTCAGCAATCATATAAGATAGGGACATATATTTGGACATGGCATAAAATAGAGGTGAGAATTAATGGCTTTCATGAAACTATCAAGACATTGAAGATTTGACAGAAATGAAATCTGAATTGTAGACTTCCAGGTTTATAGCCCAGTCTCTTTGCCACTACAAGTTCATAATGGATCAGTGATGCTGCAATAGCTATCCCAAGACACATTCTTAAATGTCTGACCAATTGACCACCTATAATGGCTACCATACTCCAGAAGCAAAACATTCAATGGAAAAGGGCATGTATCAGATGAAGATGGCACAAGAGAGAGAGAGAGAGAGAGAGCGAGAGCGAGAGCACGCGCGCACGTGGCCAGCCCCTAACTGTTGTGGAACTATTCTTGAGATTAATTTTCTCTCCCTTAAAAATATCCCATCTAGTTAGGATAACTTCAAACAATCATTTCATTTTTTCATGAGATATTCCTTAGCAGCCATCCCCAAAGGATAGTCACCTGCACCCTGTTCACATGAGTAAATCACCAAGCCACATCTGGAAACATTTATTTTTTAAAGAGTTTGGAACTTCTGAATACATATTGAACCACTTACAGCCACCATATGTGGACATCTAACGAAGAGAAGAGAAGAGAAGAGAAGAGAAGAGAAGAGAAGAGAAGAGAAGAGAAGAACGCTCATACATGAAATGTATTGTTTGCATTCTCCCTACAAGTTATACCATTCTGATCCAGAAATACATCATTACGTTGTCTTTCTGTTTGGAAAGATACAAGCCAAAGGGCAAGTCATACCAGCAGAAAATGAAGAAAAACCTCAAAACTGTTAATCCAACTATGTTTTGTTCTACATGACTGCTTACTTGCAAAGAAACAAGTAGAAATGGGTGAATCAATCTGTTTCCAGTGAGTCATTTGCATGTGTGTTTATCTATAAGATTGTTCCATTCCATCCTGCTTCTGCTTTAATCTGCATGTGTTTTATATGTATGAAATGTATTAAAATTTGGATCAAATGCATATACCAATGAATTGTCTCTTACAATACATGTCTGAAAAAGCAAACTTTCTGGGAAGAGTGAAAGCTGATGAGCACACAAGTTCTAATCTGCACACTGGGTATGACCTTGGGTGGACTCCGAGGGATGGTGGAGGACAGGACTGCCTGGAGGAATGTTGTCCATGGGGTCATGATGGGTCAGGCACAACTTTGCGACTAACAACAACAAAATCTGCACATTAATTTGGGAGCTGCAAATAAGACCCACTTGTATACAAACATGTAAATATCAAATTCTTCAAGCAGCACTAGCAAAACCTCCCTTATTTTCATTTCTCCTCCAGCAGAGGCTGCTATTGCACTCACTTCAGACACAGCAAACAACAATGAAAGACCAACAATGGAAACCTGACTTGGAACTGAAAGTTTGCCCAGTAGGATCTCTTGAATCAAAGCCTTCTTACGAAAGGATGTAACTTCCTTACCTTATTGGCTACAGTATATTGGTATGAGTACCGCTGTTTGCCACTCATGTCTTCATACACAGTGGGAACAATCTTCAGTATATAATCGTGGGATGCAAGGGCTGCATCAACGACAGAGAAAACAGAATGTGCCCATATTCAAAATCACAGCACTTAATCATGTTCAGGAATACTGCTCTGGAGCACACACATTTAAAAGCAGAAGTTTCTGCTCCAAATTGGCTTACTCTCCACTATACCATTCTAAATGGTAGTGGTCCCTACTGTTCTTTTGCCTATCTGCATTATCTTCAGCATAAAAGCTGATCAACCTATTCTACAAAATCCTTATGTATCCACCAAAATACCCATATGACTTTCCTTAGGAGGTATATTCTTTTTCAAAATTGCCAAATGTTCCATAGCATTCACCATGCCTCTTCAATTTACCATAGAAAAAGCTATTTGGACCAGATGTTAAAAGATCTAGTGCTGAGTTTTGCTCACAGCCCTACATAGGTGTTCAACATTAGTCTACATTATGGAATATAGTTGGGCTGGTGTATTACACCTCCCCAGGAAGAGACACATTGAGTCTTGCCCATTGGGGTTTAAATATTGAAGTATTATCTTTATTAGCAATGGTCATTTTTACTGAGGGATGATCAAGCTTGAACTGAAGGAACAGCGCTCTTAGTCTCAGCAGCATCTGACAGCCGGGTACCGGCTGGGTGCTAGAATGGCTAGAATAGGGCAAGAGCCTGGGGAATAAATCTCCATGGGGCAGAGAGTGCAAGTTCTATGGAGCAGGGAATAGTCTGTTCGTGATGACAAGGTGGAAGTAGCGTCAATACAGAGCAGAAAGATGCCGCATCCCTAACTTACTCTAACTCATGACAGCCAGTAAGTAAACATGGAGGAAGGAAATACCAACAGTTAAGATTCAGTTCAGGCTCATTTCCTGGCTATGACACAGAATCCCTAAAAGCCCTTGCCATTCAGCTTCTCTCTGGCTTTCTGCCTTTGTTTGTTTGTTCACCTCAAATATTTACAGGTCATTTTCCATTAAAGTGTCCAAAGGCTAACAGGCAAGTGCTGCCAAAATTAGAAAGATAAATAAAAATTAAGACAATATAATTTTAATAGTATATAACACAAACAAAATAGATACACACAGCAATAATATAGAGACAGGCAGGAATAAAGAGCAGCAGACAATAAAACTGAAGAAGCATAAATCACTTTAAATCCTAGCTGAACAGAAAGGCCTTAATTTGACACCTGATCAACAGTGTAGCTGTTCCACAAATCTGACTGGGGAGTGTATTATCAAGATAAGACATCATAGTTGAAGCAGCCTACTCCTCAGCTGCTACCCACCTAATCTCTGCGGGTGATAGTCAGTCACAACAGGACCTCTGAAGGTGATCTTGGGCAGTTTTAAATGGGAGAAGGCCATCTTTTAAGTGCCTTAGGTACCTTAAATACTCACATGTCCCTGGCAGCAAAGTATACCAACAGTGCAGAACATAGACTGTTCCCTAAAATTTTGGTGACAGGCAAGTGAGTAAAACCCTGTTTTTAACTGGGCTTCTTCTGCAGCCAGGGAAAAAGTAAAGCCAGATTCAGCTATCCCAAGTGTCTTTGGCTGGTATAATATTAGCAGGCAACGGTATTCCTATTATCATCAGCTACTGCTCAGTGAAACAAACTTAGTTCCTATGGAACTCTCCGTTTTTACTAGCTTTACTAACACCAGGAGAAAAAATATGGAAAATACATACGGTTTGAACCAAGCTTATCTGCACCCTCCAATGCATTAAATGCTCCGTGGATGTTGTGTACCTGGAAAGAGACAGAACATACCTTTGTATTAAATGTGTTCTTTTCCAATGATAAACTAACTTAGGCTCAGTCCTATGAGGCTGCCCAGAACCTTCTGAATTTTTAGGATTACAGGCATCCTCTGCAGGGGTGGGAAGAATAGCTAAGGTTGCCACTGGACTCCCCTTATCCTGCAAAGCAGGGAGATGGCCAATTTTGGCCATCTAGCTACAGCGCTTCGGAGGGAAGGAACCAGAGGTGCAGTCTGGATACACTGTATTATGGCAGAGACGAGCTACTCCCTTCCCTGCACCTCTGAACACCTATTAAATCCCTTCTCTGAGGTAGTTCTCACAACCTTGTAGAAGCATGTAGCATGGTTCTTTCCATGCTGGCTGCAAGTGAAGAAGGGTGCTGTGAGGGTGAAGTCCAGGCTCCAACACAAGCTGTTTCTGATGTTGGACCTAGAAATCCAGAAAGTCCTATGGCCCTGTAGACACTATCTAGGAAGCACAAGGTCACTCTACCCAGCACTGAAAGCCTCAACTCTGCAGGCAAGAAGTAGAGAAAACAAGGAGAGAAGGAACTTCTTCATTCTTCATTAGACTTTGTGTAATTTATTGCTGATCCTATCACTCATCCTCGCTGGGAACACGTTTCTTAAATTTATACAGATCTTGCAAATAGAACAATACATCCTATTCTGCACCCTCTCAGGATAGAAATTTGGAAGTATGAGGTCAGTCTCTCCTCCTAAAGATGAAAGTGATGTGTGTGTGTGTGTGTGTGTGTGTGTAATAATATAGAGTCTGAAACAGATAAAAGATCAAATAGCTTTGCAGAACAGCAACAGGATTTAAAATAATAATTAAAACCCATTATATTGTTTATAATGTATCTGAAACAAGTGTTGTACTAGAGTACACCAAAAAGGACAAGTGACATAAGACTGACAATATAGAAGGATGGCACGGTCAGGTTTTCTATAGTGTCATTCAAATTATCAGTAACTCAAGAGGCACTACCCTGTACCAAGTGGCACAGTATCAATTATGCAGAGACATGACCACATCTCCGTGTGAGACAGAACCTCATTCACAGATGCACCATCAGAAGAAAAGTCTATTAAGAAGCAGCATTTCTGAACAGAGTTCTTTCAGGATAAGTTTAAGGCAGCATTCTTTCTCTAACACTTGAAGCAGTCAAATGATTAATGCACCTCTTTTTGGGTCTCAGGAAAGTCAGTCATTCATGCTTTATAAACCCTTCTGCCAACACCCCCAGCAATTACTCAATGGAAGGGGAGGAACAGACCATAGTTTAGTGGTAATGCCCTGCACCCAGGTTCAATCCCATTTAAAAAGAAAACTCAGGCAGCAAATGATTCAAAAGCCTGGGGCCCTTGGACAATGAACAAATAGCCTGATCTCATATAAGGCACTTCTTATATTCATTGGAGACTTCCTATAGTTCATTATGACATGCCACTGAGTGTGAACTCTAGTATTTCCTTCTATGTCATAATAGTCTGAAGAGGGAAAAGAGCAAGAGAACTGGTATAGTAATTATCAGGTATGGGAGGGTGGATATGCAACTCCAACAGGATCTCCACATTGTAGAGTGGTTGTGATGGAGCAGTGATATTCTTGAGTAACAGCTCATTGCATTACACCGCTTTAACAAAAGAATCTCTTTCTCTGCTTTTTCTACTGCCAGCTGACCAATTCCATGAGAAGGAGAAGCAATGTATGCACAAAGACAAGGCCCATTCCGCAAAACGACTGAGAGAAAGTGCTGCCCGCCTGTCTTTGAAATGAAGCACTCCCTATTAGCAATAGCAACTTTCCTCAGGAAAGGAAAAGCTTTCATTAGTCCCCTAAGTCCACAATTAATCAGAAACAGTAATGAATATTGCCACCTACTACCATGATACAGAAATGAATATGAACCACAAACTGTACCACATGTACAATACTGACCACTCAAACATACTGTGGTCAGCCACCCAAAGGACACAAAGAACTACAGTGAGTCTCCACTAGCAAATTTGAATGAGCAAAGAGCCAAGTGCATTACTTGAATGCAAGTGCTTTCACAATTTAATGAATACTAAGCTTGACCCTCGGCCCCTCACACTGGCAAATACTGTTATATTCAGTGTGTCGTAGCCTGCATGCCCTTCAGCCCAGTTACATGAAATAGCTTTTTCTAAATGAAGCAGCTTTCATTTTTGTTTCCACCCAACCCTTGTAAACCGACATCCAAAATCATGCAAAATTACCTAATTTAGCAAGCAGCTTTGTCTTTAAAATAAAGACAAAAAGGTTACCATAAAATTGCTCATTCTAAACTGGCTGTATTGTGCAAGTTCATGAAGCAAGACTATGCACAAGGAACAAATGGACTCCTATCTTACACACGTGATTATGAGCTTCAATCATGTGTACTATATTAAAACAGTGGCCCTTTCCCAACTATTTTAAGTCTCAAGTAAACACTGAAACGCTACTATCTCACTGAAAATAAAACCTTTTCACTCTCTGCAACCTTTTTTGCAATCTAGGACTATTCAGAAAGATATTTCAACTTTAAGCACAGCTTCTTTTCCACCCTCCTGAGAGCTGTACATCCCCAAATTTACCTGTAACTTGTCACCAAAGGAGAGCTTGTGGATGACGTGTGTCATGTCAGGATTCTGAGGCTGTGCTGTGGCACTGTGAGTGGATACATGAAAATTACCTGGAACCTAAAAAAAGTCATGAGTTTATCATTTGTTAAAATTCTTAACTCCAGAGTGAGCTGCATGATGGGAAAAAACAGGCTAAGACGGATGGCTTAGTTCAACTGTCCTATGATTGGCTAGCAATAACCAACACCTGATGTGCCAGTCAAGTACTAAAAGAACTTTCTAATGCCTTGAGGAAGAAAGGTAAATAATGTCTGATCCAGATTAATTTATATACTTAAACAATGTCCTTTTCATATTGCTTGGGTTTGCACAATCAGGGAAGGAAAGACGCTACAGTGGATTTTTCATTCCATCTAATACATGGTGATTGCACGGTGCTTTCAAGCCACCCCAGGATCCTAAAATAATCCATGGGTTGTAGTGTTCAGAAGACATGGTAACCCACACCTGGTGAAGGTTATTATGGAAATGAGGCAGTGTCCATGGCTTCTTTGCCTTCTCTGAATGTGCAAACTCAGCTTTTTCTTACTAGATAGCACTATAACCAATCACCTACCAAACACTGAGAAACCTAGAGCACTCTTGTATATTCACTCCAATCAAATGAGACATTCCTATGAAAGTGACACCGATTTTTCATGCTCTTTCTGCATGCCTCTAGAGGACCAGGGTACAACAATCCCATGTGATCTGCTCTGCCCATTACTGTGATGGCCTATTAGTTGCGGAGCGCTACTGATTTTAAGTTTACCCTTCAGCCCACAGGACACATCTGCCTGAGCACTTACCCAAGTTTTTGGATCAGTACTGCAGTTACAGTAAGTTCCTCCAGGAGATACAAAATACATTCTATCATGATCAGCACCAACAGTGACAATGTAGGAAGAGATTCCGGCATGCCTCTTCAAATCTGAATACCATGCACAGCTGCAGTTTGAATCCAAACTAACAGTTTGGACTGACATAACATTTATTGCAGCTGAAGGTCAAATTGTAACATCAAGGGCAGGGAGGGTTGTAATGAGCCGCTATAGCTGGTTGCCCTGGCAAGAACCAAAAGGGTTGCTCAGCTGATGTCAAATAGAAATGAAAACATTTTTAAATGACAATGAGGGTACAACCTTTATAGCAGCACCTTCACCAAACACTGTCGTTCCTTCTTAAATGCCCCATCTTTCAGCTGAGGGTTCCAGTTGCTATGACAATGCTGAGCACTTAAGCTCTCAAGTTATTTGCAACTGGATCTCTCTGAAATCAGGAGGTAGTTGGAGACACTGTATCACGAAGCATTTTAACAGAATCCATTTATCACCACTACACTAATGAGGCAAGATGGAGGTGGGTGGAGAAAGTGCGTGCCATGTACACGGAGATGCTTTCATAGCATTTGGCTTCTGATGCACTGAAGAAGTATTAAGAGCTAGCAGATCCTGTAAGACATGGAGCAAAAACTATAATGGAGGTGGTGACAGTGAGTACCCATACTTTCACTTTGATATACATCTGATTGTATGTAATTTATTGCACGTAGCATGTTATTTGTAGATATATTTTTACTGTTGATATTGTATGGTTTTAGGATTATGCTGTACACAGTTCTGGGTACATTTCATATAAGAATGGGATATAAAAATACATTATTATTAACCATTAGTAGTTCAGGTAATCACAATCCCATCCCAATCATGGGTGCTGAGAAAAGAGTTCTACAGGTGGACTCTTCCTCCCAAAATAGATCAGGTTAAGAAGCCTTAAAGATTAGGCTGTATCTGCATAAGTGCTCCTCTTTTCTGCCTGCTCCCTAGCATTGCTGTTCCTCATTCCAGTCCGTTCATGCACTATGCTTTGCATGTCTAAGGTGTCACAACAAAAAGAAGCAAAGGAATTACTTGCAAGCAAGTCTCCAGTCTGTCATGCCAAGGTCCTTATGTTGATGGCAAGGCCTCTAGCTCATCACCTGATACTACTTTCATTCACAAACAGGTCCTTGCCAGCATGCAGCTTCTGGTCCAGTTTACTTTCACTTCTGATGGTGAAAGTGGCTAGCCAAGTGAGTTTGCCCTGCTATAGGAATGAAACAAACTGGACTGGAGATTGCTTCTTAGGAACTGTTTGCCAGGGAGAATTCCTGCCAGATATGAAACTCTACCTGAACAAAAACCACTGGGGGAAAACGCCAGACAACTTGCTGCTTGAAACAGTGTGGTGTAATGCCTACCTATGAGCCCATCTTCTCATGTGCACCCCAATCCCAATGTTTAAAACAAACAGCTCCTTGAGCAGGCCCATGTTCCTTTTAATGTCTATCCACTTACCCCTAAAACAGGAGGGATGCGAGGAAGTATTTCTTTAGCACAAGACAATAATGCTTATGAGGATAAGACCAGTTTGGGAATTATTTGCAGAGTGAATGAATCAAAGGGCTGACTTTTACTCTGACTTCTCCTATCAGAATAAACATGCTCACAACTCCCTAAACTAATAGAGTTGATGGCGGTGGGGGAGAAAGGGAAGCAACACTCCAAAGCATGATATCACCTAAGAGAGTTCATTGAAATTTTCTGCTTCAAGAGCACACAATACTTGCCCTATCACAGTTAGTTGGAAGCCACGCTAGCTAGCATGAAAAGCACCAAAAAGGAAAAAGCTATGCCATTTTATTAAGACACCCTCAGATATTTTTATACTGCGAAGTGAGCAAGGGTGGGTCTTCTACTGTATTATTTTTAGCTGTGCTCTAACGTGAATTAGTAGGAAGAGGCGGCAGCATGATTTTGTAGCCTGTGGTGTAAAAATGAGATGTGAATATGGGTTACATCTTCATTATGGCACCAGCGCACCTTCTCCCCCACCCTGTGAAGTCACAGGCTGCTCTACATGGCCAGATTATGCAATGCCAGACACGCCCAGCCCACAAAGTAGCCTCCCCATCCCCAGGTCTTGTTTCTCATCGCTGCTGGGAGAGAAACTAGGCCTCTGTAGTGACAGGAGAAGCAAAGTAACTCTGCATCCACATCAAGACCTTCCTCTGTCAGGCTGATGTGCCTGACTGGCTGAGCAGCTCTTGAGGAAAAAAAGAACTTGTTTGTGAACTGGGCCCATATTCCTTTGCACTGCAGTGACTCACAGGCTTGTGGTGTAGTGCTTGGGGAAGACAGAAGAAAGCAACAGACATGCTGTGCTCAATACACCACAAAGAACTCTAAAGCACTTGCAAATTCATGATTACAGCTTCCTGGGCATTCATACCACAAGGAGAACACTATGTTGGTGCAGTACTATTTCCGCCTTCCATCACAGGATTCAACATGAAAATATTCCTCTCTCTTTGTTGCATCCCCTTCTTAAACTAGGACTGCTACGTTTGATTAATTTGACAGATAGAATAATGGATTAAAATTGTGTCCCCAATTAGTCAGGCAATACATTTTCTTAAATATGCTGTTAATTGTTTTGAATATCAGTATTTCTAAAAATTCCAAGTACAGTAGGCACCCTAGAAGAAGAAATGAATCCACTATAATACAAATGTACAACAACAAAGCACAGGGTTTTCACCTAAAGACAATGGTTTATTCATATCCAAATCCATGCTAATTTAATTAATCTGTCCGTTAAGTGGGTAACAGCCCTACTTCCAGCACAAGTGATGTTTTTCTCACTGCTGCTGTTTAAACAGTATCTTGCAGTTAGTGATCAGGTAATCACACAATCGTGAGTAGTCAGGCCTGCATCTCCCTCTCTCTGCGCATACACCAGTGCTCCTTGTCATACCTCTTTGCTACCCTTGCACACCCAGCCTCTCTGTGCTGCTATCCTATTTGGGTTTGTGTGGACACTACATGGTGCAGGCTGCATTGCCTGTTTGTATACTGTAAGACTCTTACTGGGTAAGAAAATACACATGTAGCCACATCTTTTAATGGTGAAGAGTTGGTCTCAACAGCAAAACTACTTTTTCCTCCTTATGTGAGATTGTTTCACCCATATTATCTTTTCTTGTTCTTTACTGATTTGATTTGTATCCCATTTTTCTACCAAGAAAACAGCAATCAGGGCAGCCTTTACCTTCCCTTACTCCATATAGTGTAGCCACCAGAAGCAGGACATAGCCCCCACAGTGATTGTACAGACTCACAACAATCTCTTGTTAAAACCTGCCAATCTTTCCCAAGGATGGGAATATTATTCCAACTTGCCTTGTTGATGCTGAAATGACCCTCGAACCTGCATCCATCTCCATTATTCAGAGGAATTTTCATTGAGTTGTCAATATGGCCAACTTCATGTCTTCCCATTTCATCTTGAATATCTAATCCAATCACTGTGTGTTCATGAAGCAGGAGAAAGGGAGGAAAGGAGACTGCATGTTAAAAATAATCCAAGAGGCATGCACAGTTCTCTTTCAGGAACACTGGTGCACTGTGTTTTCCTCCCCTTCATTAAAACATCAGTTAGGCTAATCAGTATGTACAATCATCAGTACACTTTCTCTTTTCCTATTAATTTAGTTATATAGTCTTTATTGGATGGTTTGCTGGCCTTCTAGTCTGGACTGAAACAACTTCTAAGTGTTCAGGTGAATACTATTGCAAATATTTAGTGAATTAATGCTAGGATATAGGTATAAATCCCTCTTTTCCCATAAACCTCATAACAAATGACAAAGAACCTCTGCTAAAATGCTGAGCAGAATCCCTTGACCCTGAAAATATGTCTGGTGTTACCTAGTAAAAACAAACTGAATCTAGTTGCAGTCTCTTGTTAGGAGAAGTCAAGAATGGCAAGAAAAGGCAAAGGCAAGATCAGGTTTTGGCTTGAGAGGGAATCACTTAATAGGACATATAGTGACACACATACTAACGCTATTATAAAAAATACAAGCACCACGCTATCTTCAAATATGTAGGAACAAAATGTCCCAACTCAGAATGCTTGCAAAGGAGTAACCTCTCAGTCTAATGGTTTATCAAAGAGAGACTGAGACAGGTATTTCATGTTCCTTTAAGGATGGCTAGATAGGGACCATAGCTCAGCAATGCAATACATGCTTGGTGTGCAGAAAGGCCCAGGCCCTGAAAAGGATGGTCAACATGACTAGAAGAATCTTCTGTCTGAGTTTTGGACAGCTGTTGTCAGAGGAAAGTGTGTAGACAGACAAATGGGCTAGACTGAGAATAACATGGCATCATATATTCATTGAGTTGTTTCCTCTGTAATTCCAAATGCACTTTGGATGGGAATGGACTGCCCAAGACCCTGCACAGATTTGCATGGGGACAGTGAAAGACACAAGCTACAGATATTTGCTCAATCTAGAAAAATGTCACTGAACCACAGACACGGATTGGTCTTGATTATTTTGAGTCACTGAGAGGCAATCAACAAGCCCAGCTGTTTGCCTCTGTCCATTATTAATTCAAGGGGGTTTGTACAGTTCACTTCACAACAGTAGGCCAGTGGCAGCATTTTTGTTTATACCCCCAGGCCTTCAGCAGAAAGACCTACAAAGCAGCACTGCCATCATTCTAAAATCAATTTAAACAACAAAGCAACCAATCAACAGTAAAACAGCAGAAACAGGATAAAACATAGCAGCATAATAGGGGCAGGTTAACAGTTTAGCTGATGTTTTAATAGGCCTGGGAAAATAAAAAGGTCTTTGCCTGGCGTCAAAGAGACCTAAGAACAGGTGCCAAGCAAACTGTTTCCTCCCTCCAAGGAAGAGCGAATGTTCCAGAATTGCTTTTCTTTTATGTTAAGGATCATGTTGCTTTGGTACAGTCTCTAGCACACCATTGTTTGTGTAAGTTTTTAGCAAATGCAGAAAGAGGTTATTCATAAATTCGAGAATGTACTCTGAACGAGATATCTTTGTTTTTTTCCTAGAAAAGAAAAGGAATTACTCATAGTGTTCTGAATGTGAAGCACGAAGCCAATGTGGTGTTTACTCAACCACTATTGCAAACCCAGCCCTAAGCAGCACTCACATTCACAGTGCAGATTTGGCAAGCTGATGTTCAAATTAACTTCTATTTTGCCACCACTGTCTTTGTCTGGATCGTCCACGTAGAGCTCATTAACACTGCAGGGGAGAGGAAGATAGGTAGCTTCACTTTAGAAGGAAGAGTACAAACCCATTATCCAAGAGAGGCAGGGCATTCCCCACAAAGAGATAAAGCATGGGAAATTTGCTACAACATTCTTCATACAAGATTCAAAATAATCACATAGTTCCTCACAAAGGAGATGTTAGCAAACTTTCCAGGAGATGTACACAATACAGATGTGTAGAGGTCTAACTGTGATTTAAAGAGATCTTACTTTCAGTTGAAGTTGGGAGGGAAATAGGCTTGAATAAACAATTATGCTAAATATCAAAATAATTATCATAAATTCATCATGGTGGCATAAATAGAATTTGATGCTTTATAAATAAAATAAACAAAACATATTATCATCTCATGCAAAAGTCAGAACATACCGTAAGTGGAAAGAAAGGTTCAAGCTTACGTTATCACTCCAGCCTTAGACATTTTGACAACTGGTCCAAAAAGTTCAAATGACACACTTTCCCTGGCTAACTAGTAAGAATTACACCTAAAGTGACCGTTTCATTTTACTTTATGGTAAGATGATCTGTCTTACATGACCTCCTCAGTGCCAATTTTGGTATCATCTGTTGAGACTAGAAGAGATGCTTATTGTAGGTTTCCAGGTCAGCTAATTTTACAGATGGAGCAGAAACAGCCCCATAAATGGTCCTCACAGTTTGAAAGCTGATGGGGAGAGAGGCACTCTTAATCACTTCCCAAAGTAGTCCAGTACACTCATCATATCTGAATGAGAGGGGAAGGGGAAGGATCCCGTCATCCTTCTGGAAGGAGATCAGGGTGCACAATCCTGCTCCACTCATCAATACCTTCTTATCCCCAGATGTGTTACTTGATGAGGGCTATCAAGGATCAAATGCCATGCAAATGTCTCCTCTTGGTGAAGATCTAGGCATTAAGCATGTCAGGCCACAGGATATGCAAGTCCCATCAATAAAGATGTATTTTCTAAAGTTTATTTTTTAATTTATTTATACCTTGGTAGCTTCATAGCAACATAAATGCCATACATCCGCAAATACCCAACACCACAATAATATATGACTGCGCTATGATTACAGTATTGCTATATAAAGGCCAAGATACATCAACTGAGTTTCAGTATACCTTTCCCAAAGAGCTTAGCAAAAGGGAGATCTCTCTCTCTCTCTCTCTCTCTCTCTCTCTCTCTCTCTCTCTCTCTCTGTGTGTGTGTGTGTGTGTGTGTGTGTGTGTGTGTGTGTGTGTCAGAGTTTTAGACTAGGATGTATATTATTATATTGGCAAAAATTGAAAAATTGTAACTAATTAACATGCAGTTAAAGCTCTACATGATGGAGCTGAATTCCCAGAATACTCATCCTGGTCACAGTTCCTTCCCAGCAATCCTTTTCCTTTTCACTTCTGCTGATCGCTGCCTCCTTCCTTCAATCACTCACAACAATTACATTTTTTCAGTTCTTCCGACATTTACCTTTCCTCTCAATTCACGCCACATTCATTCCTGATAACTTCTGCTTCTAGCACAGGTTTCTAAATTTTGTCACAGAAAACTTTTGTGAGTGAGGACAACAAAGATTCAAGCCTCTTAATCCTATCTAACATCAAGGAAAAGCATTCTGGAAAATAGTAAGTGGTCACATTATTTCCCAGTACTATGAACCTGAGGAAGTCACTTGCTGGCACAAAATCTGTCTCCTGCCAAATCACCATTTGCTGCGGGAAAGCAGGAAGGCCTTCATATTTTGCTGGCAATTTTTCATGACTTCTAAGGTGGTTCACTTCAGATTTCAGGAATATTATCTTTATACTGAATCTCAGACCCCTTTATTACAGTGGGCCACATGGTTTAAAAGGAACAACTTGAAAATGAAGAGAAAATCAGAGGCACTGGGAAGGTAGGAGGGAACCAGTGAGCAACTCCTCAACCAGATGCTGGGAGTACATGAACCAAGAGTTTTCAATTGATGGATGTCAAATTCTTCTTACTGCGGAGGAGGGGCAGTATTCCTGATAGAGCAACACAGATTGTAACAAGAGTCAGGGAGAATATGAGCAGTCAGGTCAGCAAGTTCAGTTAGGGCTCATCTCAAAGCAACATGCTATTATCATTCAATTTACCTGACTGACCTTCACCCCCATTTCTCTTAGAATTAGCCCAAAGAGCTGCTGGTAAGCATTGCTCAACCTGTTTCAAGTGATTAATAAATATGACACACAGGGGAGGAGCATGCCTTCTCATGGATGACCTGGTTTGATGTTCCCTCACTACAGCTGCTCCTTCCCAATAGGCAGAAACAAACTTTTTGTATAATTTATCACTGGCTGATTATGTAGCCTTTAGCATTAATTTGGTCCTCCTAGATCCCAAGAGTGACCTCAGCCAGGAGAAGCATTAATCCTCATTAGCAATGTACCAAACTGCACTCAAGCTGTGTTTCCTGCAGGATGCCAGTTTGCCAGACAGTCTGTTTCATAATAGCAATGCTTTGTTGCCCTCCTTCCCATCTTTTCCTGGATCTATGAGATCACAGCAACACCCGTCCTGGCAGCTTCACACAAAGCACAGCACAGAAGCAGAAGCAACGCTGCCAAAACTCACTTCCAGGTAGTCAAACACTGCAGATTTTATACTCACAGTACCAGTGAACACAAACAGCCAGGATAACCTTAGAAGCAAATTGTGTATCAAGTAGTCCTCAAGTGCGTAATTTGTGCCTAGACTTTTTCCAGTTGTACAAGCCTTGAAACAATCTGTTAGGGTACAATCTGGTGCTTTACAACAAAGATTCTTATCCCCCCGCTTCCCCCCCCCCGCAAACTGGGTGCTGCCAGGTTAGATGGGCCATAAACAAAGTACCCATTCAGGAGCTGCCCCTCTATACAACAGCTGCTCCCACGGCTGCCTAGAGTCCTCCCACCCCTACTGTTCTCATCCCTTTACTCTCATTACCAAAAAAAATTACCAGGTGGCATCAGGAGGGGGAAGCTTTTTCTTTAAAAATGGTGTGCCAAGCAGCAGGACTTTAAAAAGCAAAAGTGGTAACCTTTTTCTGAAACTGCCTGGCAGGGGTGGGTGGAGGAGAGATGATGGAACAAATGCCAAGGCCACCCCAATCACATTCTGCTCACTAAGCAGGGTTGGGAAGAGGTTTGATTATCAATTTTTTATCAATTTTTTTAAATGCAGTGATTTGATGGTAAACATGCTAACCAGCCCATTGGCTGGACTTGGTCCAGCTGTACAAATAACACAGTGTGTTAAAAGACAAGAGAAATAACATGCCAGAAGGCCAGACATCTTCATTTCTCTGGGTGACAAACAACTGCCACAGAAATTTTGTTTCTGTCATCAGGGATGTTACATTTTCGGGATGCTACATTTATTTGGGAGCCCTCCTGCTGCAAAACCACAAACTGGGCCTAGCAGCACTGCTATCCACAGCTTTTAGGAGCCATGTTTGAATATCGGACTCTGAGTGGTTCTAGGAAGAGAGAAGAGGTTGTGGAGGCAGCAGTTCCTGGGAGATTTTGCAGTGCCTACTGGGATGTGGTGCAGCACAGCAAGAGAGCTTACACTGTTGTTGCTTTCATGAAGTAGAAGCAAAAGATCAACTCTACATGCAGCGCAAGTTCCTCTACTAGATTCTCTTGAAAAATTACAGCAAACACATGCAGCTAATTGTTATGTATTTGGTCAGTTTCCCTCACAGTTGTAGTATCACAAATATAGCTTATTTCTGATGAGGTAACATTTGAGGTACAGATGGTGCCTTTAAGCTGTTGGCTTTATATACATATATGTCATGATGAAGAGAAATACTACTCCTACTAGAAGGCAACACAGATGCCAACCCTTACATAGGTTCCCTCTCCATACCAAAACTTCCATGTTCAAACAATTTCAGGAAAAAATACTTCTCAAATCTCACACAAGAATAAAAGTGGCTTTTTGGAAAAATCCCAAATCCACATACAGGCAATAGCTTTATGAGGGTTTAAAAACAAAAGCAAAACAAAGCCACCCCAGAGAACATCCTGAGTAGCCCAAGGAGATGAAGAGACAAAGTCCTAGGACAGCGATGGCAAACCTTTTAGAGACCGAGTGCCCAAACTGCAACCCAGAACCCACTTATTTATCACAAAGTGAGAATACTGCAATAAAACCTGACAACAGGTTTTAGTTTAGAAAAAAAACCAACTCATACATTAACATCTTTTGTCTTAAAAAAACAACAACACAATAACAGGGAGAAGGAGCAATGTTCACGTTCAGTGACCCCAAGTTGGGGGACAGCGGGCTTGCCTGGCCTAGGTGCCCTCCCTCCCTCTTCGCCCCCAAACCAGCCACTGCAGGAGCTTTGGCAGCACTTGAAAGTTTACTGGAGGGGCGGAATGTGGGGGAGAGAGACCTAACGTAAAGGTAAGGAGAGGCTATTGCTGATCCCTTCCACGCTTCCGTTGGGATGTTCCTCGAGGCGCCCCCACGGCACTGCCAAGCCTTGGTGAGTGGGGTCAGGTGGGGGAGGTCCCCACCACGTGCCCACTCCTCTCGCTTCGCAGCAGTTCCAGCCTCCACTTTTCCTCGTTTTGGCCTCCCTCCCCAGGAAATGCCATATCGATCCACCTCCTTGCTCCAGCTGCTGCTGCTCCGCCGCCTCGACCCCGTCGCTTGCTCCCTTCACCCAGCTTCTCTCCCACCCCATAGCCACCGGTGCGGGAGCCCGGCCCAGAAGTGGGTACGTGGGCAGGCGGGCGTGCGGCTGCCTGGCTGCGACTGTGGCTACCAAGTCCCACCACTGTGCTAGGAAGGCGGCTTGGCCAGCTGCTCACATGCTGCGGGCTGGGAGGAGGAGGAGGAGGAGGCAGGAGGAGGGTGCCACCGCCAGCCCTTGGGATGCCCGCTCAGTGCTCGCCTGCTCCCTTCCTGGCACACCCACCACGGCTGTTGCACCTGCCTCTGGCCACCTGTTCGACGCCGCCTTTTGTGGCA